GCTGGTGCTGTCTCAAGTGAGCCTGTTTACGATTCTCCGTTCACCTCGGAGGATCTTGTGACGCTCGTGGCCGAGGTCATCTTCATCATGCGCACCTGCAAGACTCGATCTGAACACCTACAAGCTGCCCTGTCCCTTGTCACTAAATATGGACCGCGAAGCCATCAAGATCGCAAATTGGAATGCTTGCTCCTTGAAGAGCAAAAACATCGAGTTTGTTGACTTTCTCAACGAACAGCACATCGACATAGCCGTCATCACCGAGACTTCAAGTGAGCTCGAGCTGAACGTCTTCCTTCCCGACTTTTGGCTCGTAAGGCTTGACCGCACCAGCTCCGGGGGAGGGGGAGGGCCCATCGGTGCGAGACGGAACATCAGCTACCGGCTACTACCAAGCATCCAGCTGAAAACTATCGAAGCCATCGGAGTTAAGGTGAGCACATCGCTTGATCTAACCACAATCATCGCGGTCTACTGCCCCAAGCAAACCAACATTAGGGACGGCTCAGCCGCAGACCTCCGAAGGGACATCATCAAGCTAACACGACGGCGGCAAAATTTCATCATCGCTGGCAACTTGAACGCCAAGCATCAAGCCTGGGACAATAGTTGGCGAAACCAGAATGGCACAATCTTGTACAACAATCTGCAGGAAGCCCACTACAACATCCTCTGTCAGGACACTCCCACCCGGTTGAGTCGATCCGGAGCTCATGCACCACCATGGACATCTTCATCAGCAACATTGGCGATAACATCGCTCAACCAATCTTCTATCAGGAACTGAGCTCGGACCACTATCCTGTGGTGGCCGAAGTAGATTCCTCGGTCAATAGGTTTAAAGTTCCCGGCGAAATTACCATCAACTGGCAGCAGTACCAGCACAGCAATCGACTACGACGTCCAACCACAGTCGTTCGAAGAAGTCGATCGGTGTCTGCAGACCATCGAAGAGGCGATATCCCGTGCCAAGGACAACACGTACCAGCATCCAGACAGGTGAGACATACTCTAAACCTTGACAGTGTTCTGGGCTGCCCCACTTGAAGACCAATGTCAATAGGCTAACCAAAATTATTCAGGCCAGGATGGTGGAACTCAGAAATAACGATTTTGCCAACAAGATTCCCTACTCATAACCCCAGTTGAAAAGACCAATGCTATTGGCCAACATTTTGTGATTACACATGATCTTGGCCAAACCATGGTGAGCCCCCATGAGCCTGCCGTACTGGAGGCAATGTCTAGAGTCGCTTACACCCACATAGTAGTGCATGGTGATAGTAGAATATCGACTGATGAGGTGATAGCAGCTGTTAGAAGCACTAAAAACATAAAGGCCACGGGTATGGAGTATTGACTTCTTCAACCATCTTACCCTTATCTTCAACAAATGTTTGGAGCTTGGCTACTTCCCTGCATGCTGGAAGTTAGCCAAATTGATTCCAATACGCAAGCCTGACAAAGATCCTACCAGTGCCAAAAGCTATCGCCCCATCAGCCTCTTGTCCTCCATCTCGAAGCAATTTGAAAAGTTGATACTCAGCCGTCTGCTGGTGTTTTCAAATGATAAAAACATCTTTTTCAAAGAGCAGTTCGGGTTTAGGAAAGGCCAATCTACCATCCACCAATTCGCACCGGTTACTAACATCATCAAGTGGAGCAAGTCCGTTTCCAATACATCTGCCATGGCATTGTTGGACGTCGAGAAGGCGTTCGACAATGTCTGGCATGATGGCCTAGTGTACATGCTGCATCGATACAACTTTCCGATCTACCTCGTGAAGATCATCAAAAACTACGTTTTTTTTTTTCATTCGTGACTTGTCCGGGGGTGAGATTTGAACTCGTGACTTTGGCGTGAGAGGTATGGATGTTAACCACTACGCCGGGGTCGCCCCAACTACTTGTTGGGCAGATCATTCCAGGTCTACTTGAACAATGTCCCCTCTGAAACGTTCACCGTTGATGCAGGGGTCCCTCAGGGTAGCCTGCTTGGGCCTATCCTATTCAACATTTTCACGTCAGACGTTCCTCCCCTGCTGGGTAATAAGGATCGAGTGATCCGTGCTCTGGCGAGTAAACTATAAGCAGGCCTGGATTAGCTGTCCGACTATTTCAAGAGCTGGACAATTTGTATCAATGCGGCTAAAACACAAACCATTCTGTTTCCACACTCGAATTCACCTCGGCTTGTTCCACCTGCTAACGTCAAGGTCCATCTTGATAGCCCTCGCATTGAATGGTCGAGTGAAGTAGTCTACCTTGGTCTCACCCTCGATTGCAACTTGCTATTCCGATCCCATGTGGACAAGACATCCACCAAGTGTAACATCTTGATAAGGTCACTCTACCCTCTGATAAACAGGAAGTCCACCCTGTCTCTCAAAAACAAGCTTGCTGTCCACAAGCAGATCATTTTGCGGGCTATTGAGTATGTTAGGCCAATCTGGGAGAGTTGTGCTAAATGCCACCACCTAAAGCTTCAGAGGATCCAAAATAAGATCCTCAGATTGATCCTTAACAGTCCACCGCGAACTCGTAACTCTGAGATTCACCACCTGGCCGGTCTTCAAACACTCGAGGAGCGAAAGATGTCCACACTGGAAAGGTTCAGAGTCGCCTGTCTGCGATCAAACCACCAGATCATTCGTGATTTGGCAACCTAGTTCAAGTTGTTAGGTAGATTTCTGTTCTCAAGTAGGGAGAAAACAAGCCCTTAAAAGGGTAGCCTGTAAATTAGCGCTAAACGCAATCATCACGTTAGAATAACCAATTAACTAGAACAAAGTTGAAGAGCCAAAGGCTGACCAATTGAAATGTTCAACCTAATGTTGAAACTTAAAACAACAGGAGCAAGTCAGCGGTCAATGTGGTGTTTAAATCTATGCGGATTTGCTAGCGCTAGTGTACTAGCACTGTGCAAAAAAGTAGTCTACGTACGGGGAGGGGGGAAGCCAGAATCCCAAAAACTGCTCCCTAGAAGTGGATCACGGCGTGATTACCTTGACAACCAGCGACAGGTTCAACGCGGAAATTATGTATACAAAACACTAAAACTAAAAGATTGATTGATTGATTGATTGATTTATCTTTATTAGGGAGGCTTTCAGCCTGGGGCGGCTGGTTCGCCTACACAAAAAAAAAAAAAAAAAACTAAAAGATGTTAACTTCATGCTAGCAGACTTTGCATTAATTTTGTTGAAAAGTGTGAATATTTGGCAAAATTCCTAATTTATATTTGTACCACGGTTGGACCTAGGTACTGCATTGGCTGTCAGGTGTGCTTCGGTTTGTTTAAAATTTCCATCGCGCGCGGTAACATAATTTTCTGTTTACTTTCCTAGTTACAACTTTCTTAAACAGAGCATAGAGGAAGTAGATGAATTATCATGTGATTTGAATCGTCGCATAATGGATTGTGATCCAAGTCTAAAACTGGCTACTTTCCCAGGGGTTTCCGGAAATTTAATGGATCCTGGCTATTCCTAATAGCTGCCATTGAACTGGTTGTTTAATTTTAATGCGATTCAATGGTTCAATCGTATACACAAACTGGCCAGTTTTCCGAGGGGATCGAAACATGGCCAGCTGTGGCCAATGCGGCACTGCAACCCCCCCCCCCCCCTCCAATGATTACCATTGAACTTATTTTTTTAATTCTAATGTGATTTGAGGTGGCACATGATAAGTTTTATTCGTTTGAGGTCGCAATTTGCCTCATGCGTCATACGAGTTTTTGCTCATACTTTGAAATTCAATAATTGAATCTTCCTAATTTTCAATTAATGTTGTACTAAGCACCTACTTATTGGAAACCAAACGTTTGATTTGAGACACGTCATAATATTCTATTTTGCATCATTCTACGAACACAATGTAAACTACATAATGATGATGCATGATAATTCTATGTTAGGGTTATTTTTTTGCAACCATGAAACATAAATGCTCTTACTGACATCCGTGATTAAAATTTCATGCTATCAATAAGCTCCTCGTTTTGTTTGTTTTGTTTTGTTTCGTGCACAAAGGTTGAAAATGAAGTACAAAGCAAATATTTGTAACAATGAATCGAGGAGTGGTTTGCGTAATATGTCTTTCTTCTGTTTTCCGCGAAATAAATCAATGGCTATTTAGAAATTGGTAGTCAATGGCTATTTAGAGATTGGTTATAAAAACTGTGTCCTCAATGTATTAAAAGTTTCTATATAAATAAATTTAATTAATAGTTGAAAAACATTCACTTACGATTTATACTCAAGAAAAAAAATTAAATGAAAATAAAAAATCATTTTGCTCATAATACGACAATATTTCCCCGAAAAAAAAAAACACATTGATGATTGACAGTTCATTTAACTAAATTCTACTTCGCCTCCGCTTATCTATGGAATCTATAGTATCCATAGTCCTATCTACCATCATGCTGTCAGTAGCGTGATCCACTGGAAATACTTTTCAAACATCTGAATCTGGAATCTGAGTTTTTTCAACCAGTTGCATTTTTTGAGTTGTAGAACGTTTGTTTGAGAAAAAGAATCTTATAACAATGCATTCCCGTTTTTGGTTTCTTTATATATTATAAAATCCATCGAACACTAAATTTACTTTATGACTTTACAATAACGTTCGTTAGGGATCAGAGATTTATTAAAAATGATCCGGAAAGCATTGGTACAATACTGGGGAAATTAATAACTGATGTTGCCAAAAACGGGACGGCACTAACATACTAGTGAAGTATAAACATCTTAAATGATTTACCGCAAGTCACCAGTTAATATATTTTTAATAAATTTAAACAGGAATAAAAAAAAATGCAGAAGCTTTTATTTGCTAACGACATCTATTGCAAAACTCAAGAGAGCTGGTAATTCATTGTTCTAGCAGATATGATCAGCCTATTTTTTGTCATGTCAGTTTCTGAACATTGGTCTTCCACCCTTTCCTTGTTTTTATTTAAAAAAAAACCGTGTAATGATAGGCTAAATTCCCGCATCAGGAGATTTCGAACCAGTTCACTGTCATTTCAAACATACAGCAGATGTGAAACAATGAAATATTGAAGGCCGACGGTACTTTTGAATTTGCTTCCATTATTGTACGTTAAATTGATGCTAATGTATTCCTTCGAAAAAATCTGTCACTTGACGATTCTCGGTGTCGGTGATGGGAATGGTGTCGGTTGCGCACTGTAGCCGCTCTCTGCCACCGGGTACCAAAGTTAACTGTCGAAGGTCGATCTAAAAAACGACAACACATGACGATGTTAAACGATCTGAACAATGGAGATAAATTACGGCAACTAACATCACGTCCAGCTTCAATCACCGGATACTGCGGCAGTTCGATGGCTCCTATCGAGAGGACGAACGAGTTCACCCATAAGCAATCGATGTACACGTTTATGTATCCTCCGTTCCTTCCACTGCAATCATAAATTAGCAATTATCAAAAGGCACAGTGAACCATTAGGCACTGAATTATTGGATTTGGTCAACGAAAACGGTACAGTCCGACCTGAGGGGTCATTGCGGAATGGGAAGGTTGGACGTATTGGGATCGGTGTACACGTTCACGAGAAAGACCTACCTTAGGGCAACCGAGTGCCATTTGCCATCCAATAAATTCCGCTCAACTGGCAGCATCTCCGAAAGGCCGAACTTTTCCTGAATTACTTTCAATCCTCCATGCCCATCGTTAACGAAATTTATCGACAAACTTGAGCTACTGGCCAATTGTGAACGCAACGACAGAATATTGTTTGTGTGTTGCTCGTTAGGACCCATTCGTATGGGATGCTGCTTCTGTAGAAAAAAAAAAGAGGAAAAATGTTAAAGCAAACAGAAAAGTTTTGTCCATGGAGAAAAGTTATGGAACTTTTCACATCATAAATAGTCCCGGCGGTCCTCCTCTAATTGCCTTAATTTTGCTAAATTGTGGAGGTGTGGAATTATTTGTTGATCGCCAGGAATTTGAACACTACGTGATATTACGAGATGAACTAGCCAACGAGCTAAAAATCTCGCCTGCCAATAAAGCTTTGAAAAAACATTACGGGATATTTCAATCACATTCATCGTCATCTTATTATTATTCTTCTTCTTCTTTACTTCAACTGTAACTATAAGCCTGTTCTCAAATACACACAAAATAATTGGCATATGCTAAAAAATGTAAGCATGAGTTTTTACATCCTCTATAGATATTTCTGACGAGAAAATGGTTATTTTTCTCCATCAGCCTCATCCGAAGGCAACATTCGAAAATCTGTTTATGTCGTGAATCTTTTTTTACTTCGGTTCATTTTTTATGCAAAACTGTAAACTGCTTGATTGGATGTACAAAATGGTGAATCGACAATCTGGAAGATGCGTGATACCTAAATAGCTTCGGTGCTGACAAGATCGTAACTCACGCAAATAAATTGGCTCCCTAATAAACGTATCTATTTCAGGCGCTGGATGCTAGGCAGATGGCGTTTGAGCCGGTCTGTATTATTGTAATTAAAAAAAAAAATCATTTGTAGATTCAAATATTTTCGCATACTAAAGACACTTTAAAGATAATGTAGAATAAAACTTCACAATACAAACCTTTGATCGTAGATTCATCATCAATGTGAAGTTTGCCTCAATTTGATTTATTTGATAGTTGATTCGATTTTCCCAGATCTCTCCAATTGCAGATTGGTGAGTGAAGCTTCCTGATAGCAGATCAATCGAACCTGAAAAAAAAAAAATGACAACTGATAAAACAGAATACGAATCAAGCGCCACAATTTAAACATATTGTCCTCCTTCTGGTAAATGCAGATTGAATGAAATACTTTCAAGTATGTTCAATCCCTAAGTCAAAAGAAAAGAACGTCCCAAATACCATAGCTCGTCCGCATTATGCTTAAAATCGTATCCGAGCAATATTTCTTCCAAAGCCATGAATGAAAAATGAGAAAAATGCAACCAGGAATTTTCCTTGTCGCAAGCTTTTCCGCGTACTTTGTTGACGCAAGTCATTAGGTGGATAAAATGGGAGCAGGATACGTTCTTCGTGGGATAGAGACCCATTTTGAATTCCAAGTAGAAGAAGAAAACTAAGAAAAATAAAAGAAGCAGTGTATTAAATCTCACCTGTGCATTCAAACATGTTGCAGTTTCTTTGTTCGATGTTATAACCCTCACAGGCGGGATCCGTGGTTGTGGTGGCATGCTCTTTGCCATTGGCATTTTTTGTCGACTTGCCTACCGTGGGTGGTACACCGAAGAATATGGGAGTGCCTGGTATGCTGCCATTGTGCTGATTTTCCCGTCGTAGAAAGATTCCTCGAAACCGTCTGCTCGAGGCTAGATGCTGCTTCAGAATGCTCCTTTCGCCACTATTTGCATTAGTACTTTCATTAAAACGCCTCTCAATTGCAGCATGAAGATCTGTCGTTGACGTTGAAGTGTCTTCGTTCGTTTGCTGATGTTCTGCTCTGCTACCGTCGCCGTTGTTTTCCGGTTCTTGGTAATCGTCGACAAATGCCACCGTTGGCTCAACTGGCACGCTTTCACCCTCCATTCCCTCTGCACGAGTTAACGTCGATGTCGTGAGCGGTGTCGTAAATGGTGACGAGGGATTTACATTTTCATTATTCATCATATCATCCATCGTGGGATGCTCAATATTTACATACGGCTTGTGACGGGATGGTGTAGCTTGCGTAGATGACATCCTTTTGCTGGTGCTAGTCCTAGGTGTGTTGAATGCTTCTGGTGCTGGTCTGTTTAAACAATGCCGAAAACGCTGCTGTACCCCTTTACCACAGGACACACTACATGGGGTGTATTCGCTCCACTCACTCCATCCTGTTTAGGACGGGAAACAAAGAAAGAAAAATGAATGGAGACGTGATAATGTCTGTCTGGTAGAGGAAATGATGATGCGAGACATATATTATGATAATAACATATTGGTATCATGGATGGAAACTGATTGTGTTGTTCCGTTCCAGAGTACGAAAGGTTGCGAGGAATAATTAATTATTTTTTTCTTTAATTTCCATCCAGGATGAGTAGACAGAAATCTGCAAGCAGGCGCTGGATTGGATCCCGGCAGGACATCGCAGCAGAGGCAGACCCAGGGGCTAATGGCAGAGGAGCCTCAACAATAAAATAAAATAAGTCGACAGGAATCTAACCTGGGCCCAGGTCAAGGCGAAAGCGAGCAGCCTCCCAGGATGGAAATCTTTCACATTGGCCCGATGCACCACTAGGGGTGTACATAATACATGAGCGAGAGACCCAACTAACAATTTTCACAACGTAAACGCTTTGCTCATTTCATTCCCAACTAACATTTTCTGCTTTGTAAGCCAACTTTTGCAGCGTTGTGCTGTAAAGTAGCTGAAAAAAAACTGCAGATACAGCTACAAGCAGAAGCTAGCAAAATTGTTTTGTAGAGCGTTTACTCAACTTTTTCACAACCATTATTCAATTTACCAATCTCACTGAATAACAACAGCCAATAAACGCTAATGTCACTTTTATACACATCCTTATCAACTTTCAACTTGTAGCTGCAAAACAAAGCTAATAAAGTGAATATATTACTCATTTGATGGCTTCTACACAACCAACCACTCTTGCTGAATAACATAAACATCAAAAGTGCTTTTTCAACAACTAAACATCCTGTACTCAGCTAATAAACTGTGTTAGAGCTACTTCGGAAGCATTTTCACAGTCAACTTGGTTTATTTTTAGACGTGTGCAGTTTTACAGCTTTTACTCAGCTCCTTTACAAAGCTGAAGTAACTAGTCGAGAAAAGTGATTCATGTGCACTATTATAAAGCATCTACTCAACGATTTTGTTGTAGAAGGGCATGTTGATTTGTTTACATCAGTTCAAAGTGTTGGCGTGGCACAGTTGGTAGTGTCAAGGTTTTCCAATACGGTCGTCTCGAGTTCGATTCCAGGTTCTCCGGTGCAGGGTAAAATAATTTGGTGATGACTTGTAACTAATTTCGATTAATTTGATTTGACAGCAAAATAAACTCAATAAATTCCTCCATAAAAAAAATCGTAAGCAGTATTTAACCCGGCTTCAAGAGAAAGCTGTGTAGTGATTATTAAATAACCGAGAAAAGGTTGAATAAGCGCCTTTCAAGTTGACACACAGCTAAACAGCAGGATAACAGCTGTATAGAAGCGTTAATGGATACGCAATAAGAGCTTGTCTCAACTGTCCCAACAACCATAAATAAGCTGACTAAGTTCGCCAGATTTGCTTGTATAGAGGTTGAGTAAAGGTTTCCTCATATCGTATAACGTTTGAATACAGCTTGAGGCTGTATAAATGAAATGAGTAAAGCGTTTACATTGTGAAAATTGTTAGTTGGGTTTCTACTGTCTCAAGCTGTATTCAAATGCTATACGATATGAGGTAACCTTTACACAACCTCTATACAAGCAAATCTGGAGAACTTAGCCAGCTACTTATGGCTGTTGGGACGGTTGTGGGAAGCTCTTATTGCATATCTAATTACGCTTCTATACAGCAGTTATTCTGCTATTTAGTTGTGTGTAAACATGAAAGACGCTTATTCAACCTTTTCCCGATTATACAATTATCACTAAACAGCTTGATCCTGAATCTGGGTTAAATATTGTTTTAATGATTTTATTCAGCTGCGAATCAAATTACTTCCAAATTAGTTAAGCACACCACCAAATTATACCCCTGAACCGGAACCTGGACTCGAACTCAAGACGACCGCATTTGCAAACCTTGAAACTACCAACTTCGCTACGCCAAAACTTCGTACTGACGTAAACAAATCTACATGACCTTATGTTGTTTAGTTGATAAAAAAGAACTTTCGATGTTTATGTTATTCAGCAAGAGTGGTTGGTTACGAGGTTGGTTATGTAAAAGCCATCAAATGAGTAATATATTCACTTTACTGGCTTTGTTTTGCAGCTAAAAGTTGAAAGTTGATTAATATTTGCATAGAAGTAACATTAGCGTTTCTTGGCTGCTGTTGTTCAGTGCGACTGATAAATTGAGTAATGGTTGTGAAAAAGTTGAGTAAACGCTCTCCAAAACTATTTTGATAGCTTCTGTTTGTAGCTGTATCTGCAGCTTTTTGACGTAGACTACGTCTTACTGAAGCTTTTGATCAGTATAGTATTCCGGGATATATTGTTGCTGCTTGTTTATCACATTCTAGACACACTGGCGGTGTTGCTATTTATGTCAAAGAATCAGTTCAATTCAACCTTCGTACCAACGAAGTTATTGATGGCAACTGGTTCTTGGGCATTACAGCTGTACGTGGCATGAATATGGGTAATTATGGTGTTTTGTATCATTCTCCCAGTTCTAGTGAACAGCGTTTGATTGAAGTTTTAGAGAACTGGCTCGAGACATTCCTTGATTCTAGTAAATTAAATATATTAGCTGGTGATTTTAATATTAATTGGCGTGACAACCATAATTCGAATCATTTGAAGCGTTTAACTGTGTTTTTTTTAATTTAAAGCAAACGGTAAATGAATATACGCGTATTTCCAGGCACAGTAGAACTTTAATTGACCACGTTTATTCCAATTTGGATTCCATTTGTTCAGTTACGGATACTGATTCGAAAACAACCGATCATGAGACCTTAGTGATTAATGTCTTCGACCATGTTAACGTTACCGATAATTTTGTAAAATTGAAGTGCTGGAGGAAATATTCGAAACAGGCTGTTTCGAATCTTGTTGAGAGGAGCGTGGGTTTTCCATTCGCGGCCGGTAATTTAGATGAATCTACAGCTGTTCAATAATGCTTTGAAAACGTGTACCAATCAACTAGTTGAGCAAAAGTTTGTTTCTTTGAAAACCTCGAACAGGTGGTACAATTTGAATCTTTTGCGTCTTAAACAGAAAAGGGACAAATGGTACAAAAAGTTTTGTAGATCAAATAATGACAATCATTGGAATAGGTACACAATCGCTCGTAATAAGTATTCACAGTCGATAAAGAAAACTCGTTGTGAATATGTTCAAAGGAAGATTGATCAGCATCAAAACAACAGCAGGGAAAATTTTGAAATCTTTATTAAAACCTAGTAATTGCAAACCGCGGTTCATAACTTTTAATGGCACATTAGAACAGTCAGAACAAGTAATTGCATCTAAGTTTAATGATTATTTTGTAGACAGTGTTTCATTGATTAATCAATCCATTGAATTGGTCGATGAACCTGACGAAATAAAACAGCCAGTTAATAGTAGTTGTAGATTTGAAGTTTTTCACCCAATTACATTAGATTAGTTAGAGTTATTTGTTTTTCATAAGGAAAATCGGCTGGGGTAGATAATGTTAATGCTATAGTTATTCAAGACTGCTTTCATGTCATTGCCCACATCGTGCTGGACCTTATTAATGAATAATTGCAAACTGGACATGTGCCACAAATTTGGAAGGAATCCTTACTGGTTCCTATTCAAAAAGTTGCTGGAACGATTAAAGCCCAAGAGTTTCGTTCCATCAACATGTTGCACACATTAGAGAAAATCTTAGAACTTGTTGTTAAAGGCCAGCTGTTGGCGTATTTAAATAGTAATAGCATATAGGTAACTCTAAGACAGGAAGGTCCCGAATAAACGTGCTCAACTTTTTGGCTCAGCTCTGGTACTCTTTTCGGTCCCAAGCTAATTGATGTACCCCTCGAAACATGGGAAAATCCATGAACCCCTCATTTTATCTGTCAAACTTTCATAGTGAATCAAAACAAACATAGTGCAGTACTAGAATTTCGACTAGAATGGGGTACGTTAATCGTTTGCTTGGGACCAATAGGCTAGTCAAGTAGTGAGCCAATTTAAAATCGTTAGTTGCCACCGGTTGGTAATAGTTTGTTGATACCAAAACAATCGGGATATCGGGAAGGTCTTTCTTGTGAAACCGCGTTGAATTTGGTATTAGCGAAGTGGAAAAATAACTTGGAGTGTAAAGATTCGATTGTTGCTGTTTTTTTTTTTGGATGTTAAACGCGCTTTTGAAACAATTTCTAGGGCCTTATTGTTAAGATCAATCAAGCGCTTTGGAATTACGAGTACTGCATATAAATGGTTTAAAAGCTATTTGTCTGACAGAATTCAACGGACTGTTTTTAATGATTCTGTTTCCAGTCCCGTGGGGAATAACCTTGGAGTGCCCCAGGGAAGTGCATTACGGCCCCTGTTATTTATTATGTATATTAATGACTTGCGACGTGTTTTACGATTTTGCGACATTAATCTTTTTGCAGATGATACTGTGTTATTCATTGCAGCTAAGGATTTAGATGATGCCGTTTTACACTTGAATAAAGATTTGCGTTCTCTAAGTAGATGGTTGAAGTATAAGCAGTTGAAATTGAATACAAATAAAACTAAATTTATGGTAATCTCGCGGAATCGAGTAAATGAGAACGTCTCTGTTGTAATCCATGATGAGACTATTGATCGCGTCGGCGAGATTAAATATCTTGGCGTGATTATTGATGACAAACTTAAGTTCAACTCTCACATTGACAATGTCATCAAGAAAATTGCCAAGAAGTATGGAATTCTATGTCGACTGAAAAACGATTTAACTATTGCCAGTAAAATACAGCTATACAAATCAATCATCTCTCCACATCTAGACTTTTGCCCTTTCTTTATATTTCTGGCCAATGCAACACAAATATTGAGATTACAGCGCTTGCAGAATGCTGGAAAAGTTGGCTTATAAAGCTGAAAATGTTAGTTAGGGACGAGGTTAGGGAGTAGGATAGAGGGCTACTTCATCGCAATCGCCCATATCCGATCTATACGGTAAGTATGTGTTTTG